GATGGTGATGATGGTGGTGATGATGATGGTGGTGATGATGGTGGTGGTGATGATGGTGGTGATGATGATGGTGGCGGTGCTGGTGATGAACATAGCATCAGGGTGCATATCGTGATGACTATATACCCAGCACTGTGCTAGTGCTTTGCACGTATTCACTCATATAAGCTGCACAACAACCCAGCAGGCGGGCTGTTGGCTCTGTTTTACAGAAGCATACCTGAGGCACAGAGAGATCATGAGACCTGCCCAAGGCTGCACAGTGCGTGGCAACCTAGCATCAGAGCAGGCATCTGCCCCAGAGCCATGTCTTGGCCTCCCCACCATACCCAGCACATCCCTTGGGGCCTAGGGTCTGTCCCCTGCCCTGTGGGCTCCCTGCCTGGACTCCCACCCCTATCAGGGTGATGCTCTCCAGGGCTGCCCAGCCTGACCTCGTGAAGGTCGCCTCACTCAGGCAGCTCCTGCAAGACAGATGTGGCTCTTTTTCCCTCCTTCTCCTGATTAATTGCCTCATTCAATTCCGACTCTATTGCAGTTAAACATTAATTCAGTAGGACTTAATAACATGAATTCATTTATGAAGCAGCCTGGGCTGAAACGGTGAGCTGTTTGGTTAATTATAGGCTCCGTGCGCTTGCTGGCAAGCACCCTCCCCTGTCCTCCACGTCGAATCACTCAGCTCTCACCCGTAGTACTGTCGGAGAACGCTGGAAGAGATGTGAAACCCAGCCTGGGATGGAGGGGACCAGGCCTGGGGGTGTGCCCTGAGGGACGGGTGTGCCACACATGAGGCTGGACCCCCCTCCCCTGACAGTTTGATGGGACTGCACTCAGTGACTAACTGAGCATGAAGAGGCCCGATCGGGGGTCCCTAGTATCTCCTGGCCCCTCAGCTATGTTGGTATCAGCTGCAGGGTCAGAGGGGTTGTTTCCCCCAATAGCCCTCCTCCTCCAGGACCCCCTCCCCACAGGCCACAACCCCCTGGTTCCCACCCTCCTCTCCTGGCACAGAGACCGTCCTGAAGTGCCAGTCATGCGGCTCCAACAGCAAAGCTCAGTCCAGACTTGCTGTGCCATGAAGCTTTGTGTGTCCTGGCATGTTCTGGCCGCTCACCTTCCCAGCCTCATCTCCCGCTCTCCCCTTGTCGCCTTCCTGCTCTGCCTCCCGAGATTCAGCCACCCGGCTAGAGGCTGAGGGGCGGTCTGGCCTCTGACCTTGGTTACAGGGCCAGGAGGCGGCCCACAGCCCCTTCTGCCATTTATAGAGGGACCCTCACCCCGGAGGCCTTGGGCCAGCCTTGCGGGCTGCAGTGCAAGGTTGGGGGGCGGAGGGTCCCTGGGGGTGCTGGAACAGGAAGGCTGTCGGCCTCAGGAAGACCCCCTCAAGTGCCCATCCCCGGCTGCAGTGAATGGCTGAGGAAACGCAAGGCAGGTCAGCAGTGAACCCGTCCCCGAAGCGCCACACCCCCACCCTCGGGCGGCAGGGTGTATGGGTGGGGGGGGGGGTCCCGTCGCCTGAGTGCGCCTGGTTGAGGACACCCCAGAAGCAGCCCGTGTCTGACTGGGGTCCACCCCCTCCTCTGCGTCCCGGGGAGGTTTATTCTCAGCAGTGTGATCCACTTGGCACAAACGTGTCACCGTCGCAGTTGCTGGGAAGGGCTGCTTTCTCCTATATGTTCTTTTCAGGGGGAGATCGCCATGGTTTCTAGAGCAGTCTTTCTTTTTAAAGCTCTGCTTGCTGGAAATGGAAAACAAAGACTCGTTTGCACGAGCATCACCATCTTCCCTTAACCAGCTGCGCTCACACGTGGAGTGGTTTCTACTGGGGCGTCTACAGGGGCAGCGGGGTCAGGTGCAGGGTGGCCCCCACCCCAGAAGGCAGCACCTGGGGCGCAGGCCTGTCCTGACCACTTGTCTTCCCCAGGGTCCCAGCCCGCACTGCCCCTCGCCCTCCCCGCGTCCCCTTCCGTCTCCCACACTCCCGCCTTCTCACCCCTCAGCACCGGCCTGCGCTGACTCACCCCCTCTCTCTCTCTCCCCCTCCCCCCTGCAGTGTGACAGCGAGAGTGACGCGGATGACAAGGTAAGCCCTCCCTGCTTCCCTGCCCCCTCCTGCTGACCTTGACCCAGCAAGGCAGGCCCTGGGGACCAGGCAGAAAGGCGGTGGTTCTCCTGTGGGGTGTGCAGGGACCATGCGCCCTCCCCAGGCGGTGGAGGCTCGGCCTCACCTGGCTGAGGCCCGGATGCACTGCCTGGCCTCCCTGGGACCACAGGACCGGACCCCAGATCCCAGCCCTGTCAGCACCCATCTCAGTCCAGGGTTCCCTGGGATGAGGGCACCGAGGGCAGGGCGGGAGCTGTGCTCCGTTGAGGGCAAACGCAGCCCCTAGCATTTCCAGGCTGGGGCCATTAACATCACGCCAAAACAGAGACCTCTGCTAACAGCAGCAGTGACTAGCTAACTCCGGGTTTAGGCAGCAGGCATGGTAGCACAGGAGTAACCCAGGGGCCTTCCTGCCGTGTGGGTTTCCTCTGCCCTCCTATCCGCGGCTCCTGCCTTGGCCCTTGGGGTTCGGGAGTCCTTGGTTCTGGTCGTCTTCCGGGCCCCTCATGCGCCGGGGGTGGGTCGGGGGAGGCCACCCAGAGCTCCCGGCCCAGCAGCTGTGTGTGGGGCACCTACTGTGTGTCCAGTGGGTGCAAGTGCCCGGGCACTCATTTGTCTGCTTGTCCCGAAGCCCTGTGGGGTAGACATTGCTGCTTCCTGCCCTAGACATGGAAACCAAGGCACAGAGAGGGTAAGGAACCTGCCTGAGGTCACACAGCTGGGACCCAGCCGGCAGGGCGCAGGGTCCTCAGTGAACAAGCAGGCAGTTCACCTGAAGAATCTCAGGTGGTGAGGCTGGCGGGAGATGGTGGCACCAGTGTGCTGCACAAGTGTTCAGGCAGTGGGGACAATAACACGAGAGACTTTGTGGGAGACGGACACATGGGCCAGCTGGACACTGACTGGTGTCTAGGCAGACTTCTGTGAAGTGGAGCGCAGCTCTGTCGGGAGGTCTGTGCGGTGTCTGGTTCTCGGTTTCCACTTCCCTGGTGGGTCCTGGCCTGCCTGCGTCGGCAGGAGCTGTGGACGGACGACGGCCAGCCCCTCTGGTGTGGGCTTCATGCTCGAGCACAGCCCAGCTGACAAATACACGAGCAAGTGTGGAAAGGAGTCGAAGGCCGCCTGGCGGGGCGAGCTGGGTCAGGGCGGCCTGCAGAGGATGCCTGGAGTCCGGGGGAGCAGCCTCCCGGCAGCGCACTGGTCTGGGCCGGGCAAGCGGCCAGTAGCAAGCGTTTTATCCCAGGAGCCGGGGGCGGGGGGAGGAAGGGACCGGGGTCACGTGGTGGATGGAGGAGGAGCAGGTGTGGACAGGTGAGGTCTGAGGACGTGCCGTCCACGGTGACTTGGCCCAGAAGCCCTGTGTGGGGTTGTTGCCATGCTCTGGACTGTCCAGGGAAGGTGGCCAGAGGGCAGGGCGACTGGGAGGCGTCTGTAGGCCCGGGTGCCCTCCCCTTAGCCGTCCCACACATGCACAGGGCATCAGGGACTGAGGGATGTGCTGGGCACTGGGTCAGCTGCCATGTTTCCACAGACACCGTCACTCCTGAGGTCTTTAATGAATAAGATCACAGCACCTGGGGAAGGCCCACTGCCTTCAGCACCTTCTTTCATTTAAAACCAGTTTGTAGGAAACGCTCTCTGAAGCCAAGGGCTGCTCTGAGGGACGGTGTGGGAACAGGGCTTCTGAGGCCCGGAGCTGCTGACTGCTCCGGCCAGGGCCCCTGTGGCCTGGCCCATCCGTCAGTGCTGGTCCTGGCGTGTTTCTCCCTCCACCCCTGGGCCCACGCCTCCTCTAGGAGCAGGGACCCTGAGAATGGAGACCAGGGGGGGTTAGAAGGGCCCAGCTCCACACAGCAGCTCTGACCATGCACACCGAGAACGAGCGGTCACTGCTGCACACGGCCATCAATATCGGGCCGGCAGGCTGTGACCAAGGGCTGGTGGGAGGCCGTGGCTTTGGCCTCCTCCACACTCCTGTCTGCCCAGGAGCTGTGGGCAGTCCTGAGCTTTACTTGAGGGCCTGCCTGGCCCGGCCTGGCTGAGGAATGTTGGGGAGAGCTGGTGTCATCAGCAGGGGGCTGGGGGAAAGTTCACTCTGCACTGGTCTGGGGTGGGGTCTGGAACTGGTGGTTCTTGTCTTTCTGGAGATTCCCTGTGCAGCCTGAAGGGTTTTCAGGAAGGCCAGGGTCTGAGTTCTGGAACCTTCTGCTGGGAGAAACTGGCTGGTTTCTGTGTGGGGCTGACTTCTCTGCTGGGCTGGGCACTTGGCCCAAACCCCTCTGGAGCTTCCGCTGGGGCCTGCGTGTCTGGGGGCACTGGGGAGGAAGGGCAGATGCTGGCCAAGGGCAGAGCCCAGTCTTCCCCACTGCAGTGGGGTCCCAGCCATGGCCAAAGTGCTGGGCCCTGTGTGGACCACACAGGTGATGCGGGGTACAGCCTGTCCGAGGGTGTGACAGCCCCTGACTCCATCGCTGGGCAGGCCTTGGTGGGCCTGACTCTCCTGGGCTACAGAGTTCTGAGTGAGTTAGCACAGAGCACCACCCCGTCTGCTGCTGTTTGTGGGGAGGGGGTCCCCTGAAGTGGGCAGGGCTGGGCCCTGCTTCAGAAAGCCCGCTGGCTGGTGAGCCGGGAAAAGGTGAAGGTTCCCCCGCAGTCACCCATGTTGCCTTCTCTGTGAGCACATGGGGCTTCTGTGACACTGGGGTGTGTCTCTGGGCAGCGTGAGATGGAGGCCAGAGGCCAGGGCTGAGATTCCAAGCAGCTGACTGCAGTGCAGCTCAGCCCAGGTGGAAGGAGGGGTGGCTGGGCTGAGCCCAAGAGCTGCCTGATTGCTGGGAGGTCTCGGGGCTTCCTGGAACAGCCACCGGGGAGAGGGGCTCCCCTCTTGGGCCCCAAGGCAGCTCACCAGCCAGCAGGGGCGCATCGTGTGATTTCTGCCCCTGGTGCACGTGCTGCCTGTCTACCACAGGGCCCCGTATCAGTTAGGAGCTGTATTTGGCTGCTGTAACAGAAACTGGCCTCAATGTGGCTTAATAAAGGAGTTTGTATTTCTCACCTAAAGCCCAGATGTGGGCCTTCCAGGCTGGCATGGCCTGTCCATGGCCATCAGGCTCTGCTGTCTTTCTGCTTGGCCATTCTTGGCATGTGGCTTCCTTCCTCACAGTCACCTCTGAATCCAGAGAGGCAGCTGTAGCACCAGCCATCTCATCTGCATTCCTCCTTCCCACACCGTTGATCATACAGAATGACTGACCGTACATATCACTGCAAGAAGTTAAAATTTTGTTCCAAGTGCAATGGGGAGCCACCATCCTGGGAGGTTCCTGCCCCACAGCCTTGCGCTGGCAGTGCTCCCTGGGGACACTGATTGTACGCTGTGGGTATCTCCCATGGTCCACAACTCTTCGTCTCCTCCATGGCAGGGCGCCTGGTGACTCGAGGCTCGTTGCTTCCGAGTTGGGGTGGTGGAGGCCAAGTGTCTCTGCAGTGTTTCCAGGATGCCAAAGTCCTGACCTATGAGCACGGGCAGGAGGCAAAACAACGTCCATTTACAGCAGTGCCCTCGCCTCTCCTGGAGCCTGGCCATGTACCAGTACTTAGAATAGGGATGCCTCCCAGACTACACAAAGTCGGAGCAAGCTTGACTCGCCACATTCTTGGTGCACATTCTGACCGGAAGCAGCCGGTCAGAAGCCACCTGGGCTGCTCTGGGAGGGCAGGTCAGGGAAGGACGGGACGGTGGGAAGCCCCAAGCTCCAGCTCTTCTGGCCAATTTGCTTCTCACGAACCTGCCAGCATCTGAGGTCAGACGCGCCTGCGCCTCCAGGGAACCCTGCTGACCCCACCGCACTGTCCCCGGGGCTCCTGCCAGCCCACCCACCGCTGGCCTGCCAGCCTTGGGCTCTGTCTCTGGCTCAAGGCACAGACGCACTGAGGACACTGTGCCTCCCAGACACCGACAGACAGTCGAGACCAGTGAAGCCACTCTCCAGCCAGCCCAGCCCCAGGAGGCTGACATGCAGACAGACAGACAGACAGACAGACAGGAAAACCCCTCCATCACCCCCCCACACTTTCTGAGGGACCAGGCCCTGTCCCAGGGGCAGCCCACACCCAGCTCTGCCCAGCCTCCCCCAAAACACTCCCCCTGCCTCATAGCCCCCATGACATGCTCCCCCCTCCCCCGCCTCCCCAGCCCTGCTCTGGGCCCTCGGCTGCTGGCGGGCAAGGCGGCCTGTGCTGCCCGGATGCTGGGGAGCTGGGCGGCCAGATGGCTGTGGCTGGTGTCTAACTGCTTTTTTATTGGAAAAATATGGAGTGAAAAATTGTGCAGGCTCATTAGGCAGCCTGCTGGCCCCGACTGGCGGCCGCCTGGCTGAGTGGCCCAGCGAGGTGGCTGGCTGGCCAGCACTCCCTCCACTGCCCGTGGCCGCAGCCCTCTCTCAAGGGATGTCTGTCTGTCTGTCTGGCCTGTCTGCCAGGCTCACCCCCCCACCCCACTTCGCCGGGATGTGCTCCCAGCGCTGGGCTGCAGGAGCAGGGGTGGACCAGGATGGGGCTGCCAGGCAGCCAGGCCAGAGGGGTGGGGGTCCTCTGTGGGGGTCCCCACAGCACAGGGCAAGACCACCACAGTCAGCCCTCCACTCTCCAAGCCTCGGTTTCCTCTCTGCTAAATGTTGAGAACCAGGGATCATGTTGGTGCCTGTGGCCTGGGGCGGAGGCAAGGATTCCAGGGGTCCATGCAAGCACCTGGCCCCGGGAAGCCCTCTGGCAGCTGTTGAGCTGAGCTGAGCAGGTACCCCCTCCTTCAGGCCTCCCTGGCCCCCTCCCCGGCACACCCTCTTCCAAGGCCCCAGGTCAGCCTTGCTCTTTCTGGGCTTCAATCTACATGAGTGCAGACTTACTGACTGGGGGCCTCTCTGAACCTCCATCTTCTCATCTCTCAAATGAGGCCCACCTCTTAGACCCACCTCTTAGGT